TCTAACAAATAGCGCCAGTACAAGCTAGATAGCGCTCAAGTTGTCAACAGTTATGTCGTTTATATGGATGCTTTGTGTTTTTCCATGTTTATGTTTAAATTATATGGAATGAAGAAAAAAATTAATTACGATGATGGCAACAACAAATGAATTTGGACCCGACTCTGGCGGTAGAGTTAAGGTAAATTTTATGCGACAATAACATATAGAAAACTTAACCTATAAACGTGTCAAGAAAAAAAAAAACAATTTTATGAAATAATAATGATAACTATTTGGTTATTTACACCATAATAGAATTGAAATATTTTTAATTTATTTTCAGGGAGTTACTATAGTGAAGCCAATAGTATATGGTAATGTAGCCCGTTACTTTGGTAAAAAAAGGGAAGAAGATGGTCACACTCATCAATGGACAGTTTATGTTAAACCATATCATAATGAAGACATGTCCACATATGTTAAAAAGGTTCACTTTAAATTACATGAGAGTTACAATAACCCAAATCGAATTATGACTAAACCACCTTATGAACTGACTGAAACTGGATGGGGAGAATTTGAAATTGTCATTAAAATATATTTTCATGATCCTAATGAACGTCCTGTGAGTATATTCTTTGTATTTTTAAACATGTAGATAATACAAACTAGTGTCAATTTGATTTTTGTTTTAAATAGGTAACTATATATCACATATTAAAACTATTTCAAACAACACCTGAGATACAGTTGGGAAAAAAGAGTTTAGTGTCTGAATTTTATGAAGAAATAGTTTTTCAAGACCCAACAGCTTTAATGCAACACTTACTGAATTCTAGTAGACCCATAACCCTTGGTGCTTGGCGCCATAATACAGATTGTATGTGGTAATTACTTAATTTAATGAGTTTTTATACATGAAAATTACTATTCTTTTTTTTGTATAGTTGAAGCCAAGAAAGAGTCCACAATGAAAGCAATAATTGAAGCAAGGAATAAAATAAGACTGGAGGTTATAGATCTTAAGGAAAAATTAACATTAGCAAAAGAAACAATTGCCAAGTTTAAGGAAGAAATTGCTAAGATTTCTAAGGCTGGTGGAAATTTGTCAGTTGCATAACTAAAATATTTCAACAATTTTTGAAAAGCATTATGGTGTACATCATGTGAAATTGTAAAACAAGCAACCATTTTTTATGATGATGTGAAGTGTATATAGTTCTAGTATAAGATGATTGTAAAATGAATAAAGCAATTAAGAATAAATATGTATAGTATATATGAAATATTAAACATCTCTTAAAATTATGTAACTTAAATACATTAATTGAAATCTTAATCGCAAGCCATTACATTAATTTACGTTGACGTTACGGTAAATGTTAAACAATCGTGTTGACGTAATAATTCACTATGGTAATATAAAATATTATTTTCTTTATGCGATAACTTTTTATTATGAATTGTAATATTAGTAATTATATTCGGCGTCAGAAGGTAAAAAAAAAACGTTTGAAATGTAGAAAAATTTATATTTCGAAATTTCGGGAAGTAATTAAAAAATTATAAAAAAAAGATAGCCTAAATTAAGTACTCACTTTGGTCTCATTCACCCACATGATGCAATAAAAAGAAAGTTCCATTAGAAAAAAAAAGACTATAATTCAATCAACGTCTCGAAGTTGCCTCTTAAATTTACTGAAACCACTTCAGAGCTGCAAATTTAATGTTTGCAAAATATTAAAATGTATTAAAAATCTACTTGTATTTTAATACAATTTGCAAAATATGTCTTTAAAAATATATTAGATACAATCACTATGTTCTACGAATATTTGAATCTTATTAGATGAACAGAGTATGAACGACTTCCGAAGAGGTTTCATAAAATCCTAACTACGATACTGTTCACAGCGGCACATGCGCAAAATTTTCGACATAAGTGTTATACTTAAGTTTGTCAAATTTCCAAAGTGAATGCTAAATATTATTTATTTATTTAAATATCATTTTTATTCTTATACTAATGCATATCATTATATGTTAATATCACTCAACTGTTGTAAAATATTAATCAAATATTCCTTCATTTAATCACGACCTTCACACGTTAATGTCTTTAAAAAATGGTTATCACGTGGAAATAGCGTGTAATAGAAATTTACAGATTTGGGGCATGGTATGTTCAGCAATGTTAAAAACACGGACAGTATAAGCACCGTATCAGACGCAACAGTGTTTCAATGTAAATTATTTCTCATTAATCGCACGTCCATAAAGTCTTATCGTTGCATAAAAAATGACGACAGCGCCGAGCGCAAGCACCAACAAACCGTGAGCGTTTTCATCGTCGATTACACGTTTCTAATAGATTATAGTTTCGGTTCATCTTGACTTTGATATCATTCCAATACGAATACGCACGCACCGTAGTAGTTATGCAATAGTCTTTGTTTTTCCAACCGGCCGGTCAGTTATGACTTATATATAATTAAAATCGTTGATCTACGATTTATAATGTTGGATCGTTTTTGTTTTAAGTTATGAGCGCGCGATATAGTGGTCAGTGCTAAGTTCAATTGAGCGAAATTGATCAATTTTTATTCAGTGTTTTATGGTTTTGTTCCTAGTTGGATAAATATAACACATAACTTTTAATTTTTGATAAGACATTCTTAGTGATAATCATTTTATTTTATAATAACTTGGAAATGCATATACAATTTTATAACCGAAATATTTTCTAACTAGAAGGAATGTATATTATTGATAGGTATCCATTGCTGTTAGTTATATTGATATCATTGCCATATAGCTAAAGATTTATCCTGAAAAGTACTTAAATTTAATTAGTATCACTGTGATATGATTTGGAGTGCAAAGAACACCTAATTTACTAATTAGTAAATAATCGATAAATGATTAAAGTAGTTAATATAATTTACTATTTAACGATTACTTTACGATTTAGTGTGTGTATCTATTATTGAAATAGTATTACTAATTATTTCTTTATATTTATTTCAACTGTCTTACGCGTACTTTCAACTA